GTAAAATTGCATTTCGGATTTCATATCGTTTAAGCTTTATTTGTGACATTAATCATTTAAGCTTTATTTGTGATTTCATTTCGGATTTTGGAAAATTGCATCATTCAATAATGTGATTTGGCAGATATTGAGTAATAATTTAAGTTTTATGATTATTGTAATGTCACACTAAATTTGGCACCAATACACATAGGCTAAAGGCATAAATAAGAGGTTAGAAAAGTGGAATTATTAAATAATGTGATTTGGCAGATACGCAATATTTGTATTTTGGTTGCTGCTTTATTTGCAGTTTACAGAAAATATTGATGTTAATGCTTATTGTTTTTTTATTATTGAAGCATTAAATATTTTTATTTTGGTAGGGTATTATTAATTTAATGGAAGGAGAATCTGAAACCCCTGTTTCAACTAACCCACCACCACCATCAGCCCTTCTACATGAATCTAAAAATCCACAAAGACTATCCCCTTACCTAAAGCCACAAAGACAACCCGTCGACAATCCCAATTGAAGGGCCCTCCCTTTTCTCTTCCATTATTTGTTTGAGTTATTTATTTATTTATTTATTGGTCTTAATTTATTTTATTTTATTTTCATAACTCTTAAAATTCTGGATCCGGTGTAGGTGTAGAAGTGTTTTCCTTTGAAACACACTACTAACACACTACCGTTTGATAAACCTTGAGCAAACACAACAAACGTCATCCTTCACCGTTGGATCCCACAAACAGAATTAGGATTTGTGTTTTTGAGGATTTGAATTAGGGATTGACGGCGAATTGCAAATCGAATTTATCCGACACTAAAATCACCACGTTTGTTTCGATGCTGGTAAAAGGAAGAAAGGTTTCTGGGCGGGGAGAGGCCGTGGCGGCGAACTACGCGTTCGGGCCGCTCGAAGATGACGTAATCATCAAGCACAGACTTCTCACTCGAACCACAACCACAAGAGGCGAACCCCCATTGAAGAAGCTCCAGAAGAAGTTCACATCCCTGTTCGTCGAGCTCGACAAGAACGAGGACAACTATGGCGATTGCGACAAGCTGGCCAAAGCTTTCCTCCAAGAGCTCAGCACCTTCGAGATTCCGCTCCTCAAGAGCAAAGCGGTTGTGGATGCGAATCTCAGAGAGAAGCACAATTTCGACGAGTTGAGGGAGGAGATCAATCGGCAGATAGTGCAAGCGCAGACCGACATTGAATTGCTGAAGAAGCAGCTTACTAAAAGATTTTCAGGGAATTTGTAATCCTTACTTTAAAAATGTGATTAATTGCCTATAATCTTACTAAAAATTAACTGAAAAACAAAAAAATAAATAAAAGAGAGAAACTCGTACTTTTCGTTGCATGTAAAGTTTTGGATTTTGTAAGTAATACCTTATAAGTTATACATATAATTTGCATTGCAGTATACGAAAAAATTTAGGTAATTGTTCAACCAAAGATTGACACATTCTGCTTGTTCTTTCAATTTCCTATTATCTAAATCATGAACAAGATTTTTCTCAAATCAAGCTATGCTTAATATCGTTGATTAATTTCATTTTATGTGTAAAATTTGAGATGTGCCTATAAGTTGCACCGTGGAAGAGGATGAGAAAGAGGGAGAGGCCACGGTGGTGGGGAAGGCCACTGGCCACTGTGATAGAAAGTGACTTATTTGTATATCCCAGTCGGCCATTGCACACCGATTGGGGGGGTAAATAAAGTCTTTTACCTGGGGCAAATAAAGTCTTAACAAGAAAGCGTAGATAATACGCGTCTTGAAATATTTATTTTAGATTATTATAAATAAACCCAATTCTAGGCATGTATTTATAAAAAAACCCACACACTATTTAAATATAGAAACACACCCAAAATCAATTCTAAAATAAACAATTATATATTTTTTGGGTGTGTTTATAAATGGGTTTTGAGTGTGTGTAATGATGGGTTTTGGGTGTGTTTATAAAGTGTTTTGGGTGTTGGGTTTTTTTATAATTTCAGCCCCCATTTTGAAATCAAGCTATGCTTAATATCGTTGATTAATTTCATTTTATGTGTAAAATTTGAGATGTGCCTATAAGTTGCACCGTGGAAGAGGATGAGAAAGAGGGAGAGGCCACGGTGGTGGGGAAGGCCACTGGCCACGGTGATAGAAAGTGACTTATTTGTATATCCCAGTCGGCCATTGCACACCGATTGGGGGGGTAAATAAAGTCTTTTACCTGGGGCAAATAAAGTCTTAACAAGAAAGCGTAGATAATACGCGTCTTGAAATATTTATTTTAGATTATTATAAATAAACCCAATTCTAGGCATGTATTTATAAAAAAACCCACACACTATTTAAATATAGAAACACACCCAAAATCAATTCTAAAATAAACAATTATATATTTTTTGGGTGTGTTTATAAATGGGTTTTGAGTGTGTGTAATGATGGGTTTTGGGTGTGTTTATAAAGTATTTTGGGTGTTGAGTTTTTTTATAATTTCAGCCCCCATTTTGGGTTTTTTAGTGAAACCCCATATTTATTTTATCCTCTCATCATAACTTGCAGATACATTTCCAACATAAGTTAATTAATCCTCAAAGTCCCAACTGAAAAGGGGCTGCAAATTTCTTTTATCATTCGAACTCTCCAAGCATTGAACAAACCAATGAAAATAGGATATGATAAAAGGAATTAAAGTTGTATACTAGTGCTAGACTTTAATCTTAACAAAGTGTTGGTCTTTTTTCCTGTCAGGTATTCTTTTCGCCAAATGTCGTGATAGGCGTGCTCGGAAGAATACAATAGCTGCTAAACCGACACCAATGCCCCGATTGTATCTTTTTGGCTCACGTAGATGCTATTTCAATATTCAACAAAATTGAAAGTTGAATCAGGTTGACAAAAATCCAGTCCAGCCCTGTCTTGGGCTTAACTTCCGGATTCCTTCCGATTCGTGGGTTCTGCTTTATAGGCGTGCCACTGTTGGATATAAGACAAGTCCAACAGACCTGGTATAAGCGAATGTGATGGGTATTTTGTGAAGTTTGCGCCTTCTTTTTGGACCTCTGTTCAAGCCATTGTGCTCCAAGTGGGGTACTGGCTTGGATTGGTTCTTTTCTATGCCCCAGTTAAGAGGACTTCAAAATTCTTTCTCTCGTGTATATATCGGCTCTGGTTGGTGCGAGCAACATCTATCCAAGCAAGGGAAAAAGACAAAGTTCTTGGTCAGTAAACACCTCGCGCGGGTTTACAAACCTAAATCTGAATTTAAATATATTTATATATGAGCTAATCACAAATTCGGGCCCAACAATGTGATTTTCGGGCCCAAATGGTTTATATCCCTTAAGCCTATAAGGCCTGTTTCGGGCTAAAACCTTATATGAGTTTTTAGTTTAAATAAAATGGAAACTGGGAAATGCCTAAATATCACGAGTATAGAGAGAAATGCAGATACAGACATAACAAAGTTCTTTAGACACGAGTTCCATCATTCTTATTTGTTCAGTTCTTAAATCAACGACAGAAACAGTAAAGATCCATGCTTATTGGTTTCCAACTATGAAATACATTATCACGGTGATCTAAGGTTTATAGCCGGCTAAATTATACAAATTCAAATTGAACATTTTCAGAAGTTAGTCATACCATGAAGATGGTAGAGAAATAAAAAGATGAACACAGAGGTCGTCTGGCTATCTGAAATCCGAGTGAGTTTGACTGGAATATCTTGAGTGCTTTTTTTGAGTGTTTTACAAGACGTTGCGTCTGGTTTTTGGAGAGAGAGTCCCTTTCTTCTGTGCTGGGAGCTCTCTATTTATACGAGCAGGGGAGGTCTTAAGTGATGATGACTGAGCGAGGATGTTTGGCTGTTGTCCAAAGTCAGCTTGCTGACTTGACGTCCTGAACCGGTCTATAGTGGGGGTGATTGGACTTTCTGACGAGAATCGCTGGTCCTTCGAAACAACTCTTTGGTCTGATGCGTTTTGTACTTGGCGATTTGATATGCAAGTTGGCTTCTTACCTGGCTTGGTGGTTTCCTTAGGCGGCTGGCTTTCTTACTGGAAGAGGGAAAAGTCAAATCGTCATTAAATGTTGATGGTCCTTCTCCAACTTCGTGTGGGTTTGGAACAATTTCCGATTTTTCATTTTTCAGTAGTCCAATCACTTTGGGCCCTCTGTTCCTGGGCTTCGGTTTTGGTCCTGTCTTGGTGCTTATTTTAAACAAGAAAAGTCCTCTTGAAAAATACAACTTACAGACAACTATTGGGCTTGGGCCCTGGCCATGCTCTTTTTTGGGGAGGGAACCACTTTTGGTCCATTGACCAAAATTGGGTACAAACACAAAGTCTTCTCTGATGTATACTTCCCCTACTGCTTGAGTTTAACATATTATTGATTTAACGACGGTGAGTTGTGATTAAGGAAATTTAAAATTATTTAAATCAATATGCTAAACGACACTAACACAAAATTAATCATACTTATCAAGTCATCAGCCTTTCGAATAAACAAAAGAATGTCATGGCACCATTTTCTCCAACTCCAACTACTTCCTCTGTCTTCTTCTCTAATTATCATCTTCTTTTGCATTAGTTAATGACAAAGGCATCTTTTCCTCGCAACACACCATGACGAAACATTGCTGAAGTCCCTTTCTACACGATTATTTTGTTTTTCCGTTTCTTTATAGTCTCTGTCTTTGCCTTCCTGGAACCTCTCTCCGTGTTCATTTTTCTTTTCCATATTTCAATTGGTGCCATTGAACTACCATCTTTCTAATCATTCTAGATCCGCGATCAGGTGCTGAGAGAAGATATCTTGGAACCACTTTCCAATGGCATTGAGCAGCCAAAGGGCCTTCACTTCAGCTACTGCAGTTTGTCCATGGAAATACCAAGTGTTTTTGAGTTTCAGGGGTGAAGACACTCGCAGGGGTTTTACAGACTATTTATACAAACAGTTGGACTGGCGAGGAATTAGAACTTTCAGGGATGATCCAGATCTTGAAAGAGGGACAGATATCAATCCGGAACTTCTGACCGCGATTGAACAATCAAGGTTTGTAATCATAGTTCTTTCAACAAACTATGCTACGTCAAGTTGGTGTTTGCGGGAACTAGCCCATATTGTTCAGTCCATGAAAGAGAAGGAGAGAATTTTCCCAATCTTTTATGATGTGGATCCCTCTGATGTACGACATCAACGGGGGAGTTTTGGGACAGCCCTCGTTAACCATGAAAGGAATTGTGGTGAAGACAGACAGGTGGTGCTTGAGTGGAGAAATGCTTTAGAAAAAGTTGCTAATCTCGCTGGGTGGAATTCAAAGGATTATAGATAAGCAAGCATGAAGCAACAACTGACACATAGCGCTAATAAGACCAATTCTTGAATATTGCACTTCAGTTTTGCCATGCACTTCAGTTTTGCCATGCACTTTATCTACGATATATTCATATAACCTCATCTGATGATTTTTTTTTTCTTCTACTTCTAGGTATGAAACAGAGTTTATCACAAAAATTGTTGATGCAGTGTGGGATAAAGTGCATCCCACATTTTCATTGTTAGATTCCTCAGAGATATTAGTCGGACTTGATACTAAACTAAAAGAAATAAATCTGCATTTAGATACAAGCGCAAATGATGTGCACTTTGTGGGGATATGGGGGATGGGCGGAATGGGTAAGACAACCCTAGCTAGATTAGTTTGTGAGAGACTTTCTCATAATTTTGAAGGTAGCAGCTTTCTTGCAAATGTCAGAGAGGTTTATGCAACACGTGGTCTAGTTCCTTTACAGAAACAGCTTCTTTCCAATATCTTGAGGGAAAAAAATATACAAGTTTATGATGCGTATAGTGGATTGACTATGATAAAGAGGTGTCTATGTAATAAAAAGGTTCTTCTTATTCTTGATGATGTAGATCAATCAGACCAACTGGAAATGTTGATCAGAGAAAAAGACTGCTTTGGTTTGGGAAGTAGAATCATCATTACAACTAGAGATGAACGTTTGTTGGTCGAACATGGGATAGAGAAAGTATATAAGGTCATGCCATTAACCAAAGACGAAGCTCTTTATCTCTTTAGTAGGAAGGCCTTTAGAAAAGATGACCTTGAAGAAGATTATCTAGAACTGTCTAAAAAATTCATAAAGTACGCACAAGGTCTTCCATTAGCTCTTAAAACTTTGGGGTCTTTTTTGTATAAAAGAAGTCGAGAGGAATGGAAGAGTGCACTAGATAAACTGAAGCAAGCTCCTGACAGAAAAATTTATCAAATTTTGAAAATAAGCTATGATGGACTAGAGGAGATGCAGAAGAAATTTTTTCTTGATGTTGCATGTTTCCATAAGTTTTGTGACAAGGAAAAAGTGATTGAAATGCTAGACAGTTGCGGTTTTGTTGGCACTCGTATTGTGATACATGTTCTTATTGAGAAATCTCTCTTGTCTATTTCAAACACGAGTTTGTCCATTCATGATTTGATACAAGAAATGGCACGGGAGATTGTTCGTCAAGAGTCTGTTGACGAGCCAGGTGGTCGCAGTCGCTTGTATCTTCACAGTGACATCGTTCATGTACTCACGAACAATACGGTAAGAAGTTGCACAAAAAATAAAATACCAAAGCCTTGGATAACATACTATAATTCCATTAAAAAAGATAAGAGAGACTTGATTATGACATTAACTTTTCTTTTATTCCTATTTACAAGGGAACGAAGCCATTAAAGGCATAGTCCTATGCTTGCGTGAATTTGAAGCGGCACACCGGAATCCTGAAGCGGCACACTGGAATCCTGAAGCATTCACTAAGATGTGTAAACTAAAGTTGCTCAAGATTAATAATTTGCGCCTTTCTTTGGGCCCAAAGTATCTTCCCAATTCCTTAAGGTTTCTGGAGTGGAGTTGGTATCCCTCCAAATGTCTGCCACCAAGTTTTCAACCTGGTGAGCTTGCTGAACTTCATCTGCAGCATAGCAAAATTGATCACCTTTGGAATGGAATAAAGGTAAGACCTGTGCAGAGCTATTTCTTTTCAATCTCAAAAAATTGTACGGTTCTTGGAAGTTAATTAATCTACCATTTTCATGTTTTGTACAGTACATGGTGAAGTTGAAATCTATTGATCTTAGTTACTCCGAGAACTTGACAAGGACCCCAGATTTCACAGGTACTCAGAATCTTGAGAGGTTGGTTTTTGAAGGTTGTACTAATATTGTTAAGATTCATCCATCCATTGCCTCTCTCAAAAGACTAAGAGTTTTGAATTTTAAAAACTGTAAAAGCATTAAGAGTCTCCCAAGTGAAGTAGAACTAGAATCTCTTGAAACATTTGATCTTTCTGGGTGCTCAAAAGTGAAAAAGATTCCAGAATTTGTGAGAGAAATGAAGAATTTTGCGAAGCTTTCTTTAAGCTTCACTGCTGTTGAGCAAATGCCTTCATCAATGATACCTTTGATCCCGAGTTTGAAGGAGATTGATATGAGTGGAATTTCTATGAGAGATGCGTCATCCGCCCTGGTTCCAGTGAAAAATATCAAACTCCCTAGATCATGGCATTCTTTCTTCACTTTTGGCTTACTTCCAAGAAAGAATCCCCACCCTGTGAGTCTGGTGTTAGCTTCCTTAAAAGATTTACGCTTTTTGAAGCATCTAAATCTGAGGTACTGCAATCTTTGTGAAGGAGCAATACCTGAAGATATTGGTTTATTGTCCTCATTAGAAGAATTAAATCTTGATGGAAACCATTTTGTTAGCCTTCCTGCAAGCATCAGTGGGCTTTCTAAGCTTGGGGAGTTCACATTGAACAATTGCAAAGGGCTTCAAAAATTGCCAAGCCTTCCATCAAACGGGCTTTTTTGTGTAAACACTGATAATTGTACTTCCTTAAAAATATTCCATTTTGATCCAACACAGAGGTGCGGTGGAAGAAACATTATTATTTTTTCTTTCAACTGCTTCAGTTTGGTTGATCATCAAGGTTCCAGTTCCATAATATATTTAATGCTGAAGAAATTCCTTCAGGTACTTCCCTCTGTCCCTCCTTCCCTCCTTAGTTGTGTACGTAGTACTATTTATATCCTTCCTTTGGTGCAGGAAATTCCTCCTTCATTGAAAGACTTCAGAATTGTAATTCCTGGAAGTGAAATTCCTGAGTGGTTCAGTAATCAAAGTGTGGGAGACTCAGTAATTGAGACGCTACCTTCGGATTCTAATAGCAAGTGGGTGGGGTTTGCTTTTTGTGCTCTATTTGTACCTCTTGAAGAAATTTCAGCTACGGAACGTAATACAATCTATTTTCATCGCCTTTTTGATTTAAACACCCCTGCACCCTTGGCTCATGTTCTTCACGTCATTGATGTAGTGTCCGATCACCTTTGGTTGATCCTCCTGCCTAGGGAAAGTTTGTTTGAGGGAGCAACCGGGAGACCTGGGACCTATTGGAGGGAGAAATGCCATGATCGTAAGATTCGGTTTCATTTTGAAGCCCGAACATATTATATAGAAGAGAATAGGTGGGTGAAGATGAAGACGTGTTTGAAGGTCAAGAACTGTGGAGTCCGCATACTGTACGAACAAGATGCGGAAGAGCTCAACCGAACAATGAAACAATATTCCAACAGAAAGAATTCTTTTTATGAGGACGTTACAGATTGTGATATTGACAAATCAGACAAGGTACAAGGTGCCATCACTAAGCGAACACGTGAACAGTACTGTAATGAGGCAGGACCAAGCGGTATTGGTAACCTTGGCAAAGAATCACTCTGCAAAAGAATGAAAGAAGACTAACTGTCCAGTGCCTCAAAGGAAGACTTGAAAGGTTGGTATTGCTAACACTCCCGGTCTTCATAGTCTGAGTTAATCGAGTACAAGGACGAATTAATCATTGGCGGAGGTGGTTCCATCGGATCACGACGTGGGGGAGTATTTTCCTTCGGAGGACGTAATAGTGCCAATTCTTTCAGACACGGAACGCACCACTGGAACCGATTGCGGGCATTGCTCACTTGAGGAGCCATGTGTAATGGTTTTCCTCTTTTTTGTTTTGCCTTGAATAATTTATTTTAAAAAATGGAATTAGAAATGCAAGAAAGAATACATATAACATTCTGTTTGAAATCGAAAAAGTACTCTCTACGTCCCCAAACAAATTTTTTGTTTTTTACATTTTAGATTGACGATCCAATAGATGGTTAACTAGTACAATTTAAGAACCTGTCATATAATTGGTAGATTTTCCACACATTCATGGTTTCGCTTCAGTTTTTTATCCTATTAGGTTGGATGAGAATACTTATCCTGTTACGTTATATTTAAATTCAATTGAAATGCATATATGCAGGATGTGTTTTACTAGTGTAGTTTTGTAAATCTTCTTTTGTTGTACCAATCAATCACTCTGGAAGTAGAACAAATTTTGACAGTCTTTATAATCAGATCCAAATTTTATTGGGGGAGGAGAGTTCCGTCATCTGGAAGCCTAACCGCGCGTTTTACCGACTGAAGCATTTGAACACGGTTGGGAGACATCTATTTATACTTAAATGGTTTCTTTCTTAGGCTAAATTCCGAATGCTGTAATACATTCAGTAGGTTAATTAGTGAAGCCCTATTTGAGACATTGACATTAATTGGGGCGTGGACAAGTCAATCAACTCCAAAATGACTTGTGCTGTAATTCCACTACTTCATTTTTCCTTATGCAAAAAGCTTTTATTTGTGTTTTTTTTTCAGGCATCTGTTGTAATGATGCTCATATATATAATTTGCATATTTGGTGTTTTTTTTTTTCTTTTCTTCTTAAGACTTATTCTCAACCAGTGAATTTAAATTGGCCAAAATTGTGGTCCTACTTGGTATATGTTTGTACCCAAAAAATAAAAATCTTGGATTTAGATTCTTGGTGGGTTTAAATAGTGCGGAGGTAGGGATAAAAATGAGGTGAATCGGAGGCTGGTATGTGGTTCTCATTCTTTTCCCCACCTCCATGCTAGTAATATTCTAATTGGTGATTCCCCATCCTTGCCTACGTCCCATTACAAAAATACTAATAGAAAATAATATTAAATGTGGAAAAAAAGTCATAAACTATTGGTGGGAATCATGGTACAGAGCTAGAAGTCACTTAACAATATATTCATATGAAAAATAAATAAATAAATAAAGCCGAGAATTTCCCGATTAGATTCAACATATATACAGGGAGAAGAACTATCTTGCAAGATGGAGCTACAATCTGGATGCATTTGCTTTTCTGAAAATACCCTGTCACAGGATGCCACTGTTAACAAACCTGTAAGTATCCGAAGCCAATAAAATGTCGACAGCTAACAACTAATTTTACTTTCAATTTTATATATTAAAAAAATGTTCTGAACCCATTTTGTCTTCTTTCTTCACTTTAGTCACTCCTACTCCATCATCATCCACACACCCCCCTGCGTTCCTTTTTTCTCTTCAATCAGTAATCCTTCATAACCCACACTTAGTATTGATATCTCAGTTTTAATTTGAGTGAAGTATATTTATTGGAGAAATCTGGAAAATTTGTAAATGGTGGAGTTGAGAAATATTGGGTTGGCTTCGGCTTTGTGGAGGAACAGTATACGTTTTGGGGAAGAAAAACCTTCTCCGGCGTCACTCTCTCTCCTCCAGATCTGAGTAATCTCTTTCCTCCTTTTTTTCCTCAAATTTTATTATATCTATCGGGCAGTTTTGGAAAATTTGGAATGGTGAAGCTGAGAGAGCTTGGGTTCTGTCAGGGAACAGTGAAGGTGCGGTATTGATTTCTTCTCCTGCCATTCCATTATCACAAAGTATTAGCCTTTTTCACATTCAGTTAAATATATTAAGCCCAAAAAATACAGAGAGAAATCAATATATGATGTGTGGGTGTTGAAGGAGTGACTGATGAGGAAGTGAAACACCAGAAATAGAAGAAGAACAGAGTTTTTTTTTTCCGGACTGCAAGAGGAATGGGGGGGAGAGAGAGAAGAGGAAGAACATAGGTGAAAATGCCTTTTTTTTTTTGGGTAGTGTCAAATAAACTCTTTTGCTTTTCCTTTTCCGTGTACAATGGCTACTGCGGCTTTACTCAAGTGGAGAAAATGCTTTCGAAAGTACTGTTAGTCAAGTCATAAGAGTTAGGCAAGTAAGTTAGGCAAGTAAGTTAGGCAAGTCATAATTAGGCAAGTCATAGTTAGGCAAGTCTTAGTTAGGTATGTTTACATTTTCCATGTTTTAGGGAGACACAAATCCTGGAAATGCTCCATGGTTTTGTATACTTGTTTGTAACTAATAGTTACCCTTTCTACATTGTGTATAAATATCTCCATGATAGCAATACAAAGATATAAGGGAGAATTCTCTGCAAAACATCTATTATTCCTCACTCTTTACTCTCTCAATTACACTATATTTGATATGGTATCAGAGCAATCGATTTTGGTTGCCTCTGCATAACCTTATCCTTGCCTAATCTCTACTTACCCTTGCTCATACTTTGCTGCTGTATTGCTCCTACCTCTACCCTTGCCTTGCCTCTACACTTTGCTGAAAATTGTGCTCTTGTTTGCTGAAGTTCTAAGCTATCTTCCGCTGCATCTCTTTACCTCTTTCCTGTACCAATTTTCCAGCACCAACTTTTCCTCTTCCCAGCATCAATCTCTTCACCTATTTACCTCATGGAAGACACCACCAACTCCACTGCCGACTCCTCTAAGATCGACTCCACCAAAAGCGACTCCACAACTCCACCACTCCGGTCCTCTCATGATTACTCTCAAATTACTCCTGATAAGTTGGATGGGTCCAACTATCCTGCATGGTCTCGTAGTGTTCGCTTGGCCATCACTGCTCGTCGTATGGCTGGTTTCATTAATGGTAAAAAAATTGCACCTGCCATTGATGATCCTAGCTATGAAACTTGGGATGAAGACAACTGTTTGGTGCAGTCATGGCTCCTCAATTCCATGACCAAAAATGTACGTGCCTTATTTGACCATTGCTCAACGGCTTATGCGGTGTGGGATGCATCTCGGAAGACTTACACTGTTACTCAGAATAGCTCCAAGTTGTACCAACTCCGTCGCCAGTCCGTCACCACCTCTCAAAATGGTGAGCCTGTGAATGTCTTCTATGAAAAGTTACACATCATATGGCAGGAAATTGACAGCCTCCGTCCCTGCAAACATACCAATCCCGATGATGTGGCTCTTCATCAACAAGCACTTGAAGTTGAACGTGTGTACGATTTTTTGGGAGGACTCGATCCCAACTTTGATTCCGTTCGTAGTCGGATTCTTGCTATGAACCCGCTTCCAGCAGTCATTGAAGCTTATGCACTTGTGGTAGAAGAAGATAACCGACAATCCTCCATGCTTGGCGGGGGAAGTGCAATGGCCGTCAAGCCCTATCGACCACCACACCGTACGTCCTCCGGATTTCCCCCCCGGGGTCCCAAAACTGACGATGCAAAGGGAACTCAGAAGTGCACTCATTGTGGTGGTAATCATCTTGTTGAGAAGTGCTTTAAGCTTCATGGTTATCCTGAGTGGTGGGATGCTCTCAAGTCCCGCAACAAAACTCCCAAGGCAGCATGTGTTATAACTACCGATGCTTCTCCATCTTCCACTCTACTTTCTGACTCCGAATCAGGTACACGACCCACTACATGGATAATTGATACAGGTGCCACTGATCATATGACTTTTGACTCTACTATGTTTTCCACATTATCTTCTAAGTCTTGTCATCCATACATTACTAGTGCCAATGGAGTTCCTTCTAATGTTGCTGGTGAAGGAACTATATCACTTTCCCCTTCCTTATCTTTATCTCATACACTACTTGTTCCCTCCATCAATTGCAATTTGCTGTCTGTTGGAAAATTACTTGACTCACATAATTGTTATGCCACATTCTATCCTTCCCATTGTATTTTTCAGGACCTCACGACTCACGCGACGATTGGGCATGGTAAACGAAGAGGGGGGTTGTATTCCTTGACGGTATCTCCACCACCAAGGGCAGCTCATACTCATAGTTCCAGCTCACAAGCTCGAAATCAACACCAGATTTGGCTCTGGCATCGTCGTCTAGGGCATCCATCATTTGGCTATCTTCAACGTTTGTTTCCGTCTTTGTTTCGTGGCTTAGATAATCACCAGTTTCAGTGTGAAACCTGTGTATTGGCCAAAAGCCATCGAACTGTTTTTCCCTTAAGTGATAATAAGACAGAATTTCCTTTTGATTTGGTTCACTCTGATGTTTGGGGTCCTGCTAAAGTCTCTTCCAATGGCAAAAGATGGTTTGTTACATTTATTGACGATTGCACTCGCATGACTTGGGTATACTTACTTGCTCATAAAAGTGATGTTTCCGCTGCAATCCGTGAATTTCATGCTATGATTACCACACAATTCCAAGCCTCCATCAAAGTATTCCGGTCTGATAATGGTGGGGAATATGTGAACAAGGTCTTGGAACAATTTTTTCGAGACCACGGCATCATTCATCAAACCTCCACACCTTTTACTCCACAACAAAATGGTGTCGCAGAGCGAAAGAATCGACAATTACTTGAGGTTGCTCGTGCATACATGCTGGATCAATCGGTCCCTCACTACTTATGGGGACATGCCCTCCTTTCTGCAGTCTATGTCATTAATCGAGTGCCTAGTAGTGTTTTGAAGTTTGAAACTCCACTGAACACCTTGGCTCGTCACGTCTCTCTTCCTACAGTCCTCAAGTTGCCTCCTCGCATATTTGGTTGTGTTGTATATGCTCATGTTCCATCTCATCAAAGAAGTAAACTGGACCCTTGTGCCATTCGTTGTGCGTTCGTTGGGTATGGATCAAATCAAAAAGGATACAAGTGTTACCATCCTCCTACTCGCAAGCTCTTTGTCACTATGGATGCCACATTCCATGAAGATTTATCATACTTTAAAACTGTTACGCCCCCTTCTCTTCAGGGGGAGAGGAGGAATGAAGAGAAGGAAAACAAGGCTCAAGAAGAAAATCAAGTCTGTTCAAAAGCGACCG